ATTGTTTTTTATCGTCCCTTCTTCTCCTCGCTCAGTCTCCTCATCTAAAACCAGCACTAACAACGTGATGTTCAGTTCCTTGTAACCAAGGTTAATGGTTTTAGTGCTCAAACTTTCTCTCAGTAAGAAAAACAGACTCTACTACCCTACGATCACAAGCTCTGTGAAAGGAACAATGGTGTCTACTAACAAGTTAAACAAATAAGTAAGAAAAGGCCACTTGATGTTGAACATTCTTACTCATTCCGAATGCCTACAATTAAAAGATGAAGAAGCAACCTAAATGTAGACTACAAAAATTTACCCAATGATCGTGAGCAGTGGTGATAAACGAAAGCAGAAGTGATGGGAAAAAGCATTTACAATGGATAATACTATTTTCATTAAAGATGTGGGTTTGAAATTCTGAACCTTGTGAAATGGAAAACCGATGGCCCATTCTTAGGTTGGTAAAGTGCAATAATAACAGGAACAGTTCAACTATCCTCCTGCTACCCCCCAGTTCTCCAATATTCATTAACAGCATGGAAGATTATAATTGGTCTGCAATTCTTCAAAATGTGCTGATGTCTATAAATGACTTCAAGCAAGAATCAGCAGCAATTCCTAACAAATTAACTCGAGTCCTTAAGGATAATGACATTATTCTGAGTTACATCACCTTAGATATTAATTAAAATTTAAGATTTTCATGAGATTCTATACAACTGCTTCCGATCAAATGTAGTCTCACTTCACGGGAAAGCAGTCAATTCATCATATGATAGTGTCAGCAAAATTAGTCTGATTAATACATTATTTAAAAATTTGATACTCTAATCACCAAAATCCTTAAAAGGCGAAAACTCTCAGGAAGTAACAAAGTAGATATATCTTCGAAATATTCACCCTTTGATCAGTTTTCGAATACAGAGGAGCAAAAAGATGCATAACTTCAGTCACTCTCCTCGACCTAAACATGATTATCGACTAAGTATAACGAGATTTCTCTTAGCAGTTTTATCATCAAAGAGGCACCGGAAAGGTACGTTAACTTAGCAAAGGCTTCCTACAAGAATATTATTGATTGTACAGGGAACAGTCTTCTGAATGGGCTAAGTTCAGTGGTACTTACAAGGCTACCTAGTTTACCTATCTTTACACTATTTCTGTTAAAGAAAAACTCTTGACTTAAGTCTCATTTTCACATATTTACGAGATTCCGAAACATTAATTATTTTATCATTATCTGCTCAAGAGACTAGTAATGACTCTCTAAACTAAAGTGTTAGAGACTTTTATATGAACATTTGTTAATGCGATATTAGTCTCAGACTGGCTTTAGTTGGGATACCACAGGAAACCAGAGAAATCCGTTTATTTATAACTCACTTATCGCCATATTGACAACTTCCATTTATTTCTATCTACCTTGTGCACTAACAGTATCCTATGACTTCATTTATTCAGTAGAACTTAGTATCAATAACATACACACATATCTCCAACTACAGCAATCTAAAAAGATAACACATCAAATTGCCCACAGTTTAACTATGAACAAAACATGGTTGAAGGCTTTAGTTCAGGATTGTCTTGACATTATCTATTTCTAATAAATTCAACCTCAATTATTTCTTTAAAAAAAGCTTGGAAAGTATTTGATATGTTACGATCCTAGTGACGTGATTCAATTCGAACCAACACGACAGGTGATATTCTTCTAACCTTAAGAGATGTTTTTGCTATATTTTATATTGATTATTTCCAAGCTGATTAGTTGAAATTACATTACCGTTCCACTGAACATAGAGTAATAGAGTGATTGGACTGTACCAATGACGTTGATTTCCATAATAAGGTCACAACACTTGATATAAATCCATCCTAATTTTTCGTAAACAAAATATCCTTTTTTCGTAGCTTTGACATAAATCCGTTCTGATTGGAGGAATTTATTTATGGAAAAATCGATTTTACTCATTGATCGTAATTTTACGGTCAGAGAAAGTAAAAAAGAAAACGCCTAGTGATTTTAAACAGAACGATGTATTTATGTCTAAATGTACAGTTACTATCGATCTAACATTTTGCTGTAGTCTAAAACTCTCATAGTGAATTTTACTTTCATTTGAATGAAAGTATAGGGATATTAACGTCATGGATACCATAATATAGATTAGTGTTATCTTACATCGAATTCAACATTAAGAACTATGACTTTAAGAAAATAGGATTTGAAATAACTTGGAAAATAAAACACTCAGGGTTTAGTTTATTTTTTGGCTAAGACATGGATACCTGGTTTTTCAATATTGAAAAAAGATATGCCATTAAGTATTACCGACTGGACTTCTGAAATACTCTAAGCCTAAGTCTTTTCACCCCTAATACTTTTCTCTCCAACTCATTATGGAAATATTACACTAATCTAGATCCCTAAAGCCAGTGTGAGTCTATTTACTGTGTACAAGGGCTACCTCACCAGTGATTTTAATTTCCAAGTTTTGACCAAGTCAGTGCTTTAAATCAAACTGTAGTTGGAGTCGAGTACCTTTAGTGATGTTTGTCATAGCTGCTACTCATTTTTATTTAGTCGCCTTAATGAAATGCTCTCAGCAACGTTTTCCCGCCTAGACACTCGCTCGTTAGATGACAATATCCAGAGGGTACAATTCTGTTTGACAAAAATACCGGGAAAATGGAGTGTCGTCTAATCACCTTGAGAAAACACAATAATGTTTTGGGTACATTTCTTCCTATCAAAATATGAAGTGTTGCTCTGAGTATGGTCTGAGTTAGCATCTAGTTCAAGTATACAGAATGAGGTAGTCGAGCGTGTTGACCACTTTACGTATCTCAGAAATCTAATTATTTTTCGGTAGCTCAAGAGATCTTAGCACTTACGCAAAAACTGGTGAGATATTCTCCAACTTACACCACTTGTTACAAGAGCAAGATATTCATCCGTCTATCGAAAAGCACAGTGACTGAGTAGTAGTTCACTATTTTTAAATGTATAGCTCAAATATGACCAACGTAGATTATCATCATAAATCTCTTTGAGGACTGCGCGAGTGAGTAATCCACCTAGACAGGGTATCAAGTAAAAATGGTAATTCAGTTGTTAAGCTTAATCAAATGGGGTGATTGTAATATATATTACAGAGGCTCAGGGATAAAACATTGTGAACCGCTATCATGGCTGGTATATGAGTGAATCGAAGAAAGTCTAAGGACACCAAAACAAACAGTTAATGAAAACACTAACTAATGATTAAAGCTATGTAAAAGGGCGTAGATCTCTTGGTTGGGACCCGTATAATGGTCGTGACCTATCATTAGAAACTTTAGGAAAAAAACCAACCTGATGCAACTACAGTCAATCTTCCTCCTACCGTATGTTTTGACCTTAGCATCATTCCACACTGCTTATTCCCGGCATTTATCCCTTTTAAGCTATAATTTCTATGGTTAGCTTCTCATTACAGAGAATATCTCCTTGACTTGATTTCCTTTTTGTCTTGTTAATTTTTTCATTCTCTGAGCTCATGTAGTGACTTCAACTCATACACATTGAAGTCAGGCTTAACATTGTCTGTTTTCGGTTTTTTGGCCACTTATATTTCTAAATTGGTGCTGGGGTTGGAATATCAACTACCTGTTAGTAGACTAATTAGCATATACTGCAAATCTATTTATCTAAACTGATTAAGCTGAATTCTATTGTTTTCTCAAGCGACTACTCACCTGATTGTTAATTAATCTACTGAATAACATCTACAAGGCACATCAGAACGATCTATAACATGAACAGATGGTGAACGCTGTGTTTAGACTCAAAATGAACAACCATTTCATTCAGTTGATGTTAATTAGTAAAACGACTACCTTACCATGTAATTGTTTGTTTCAATAAATAGTAATCTTAATTAAGACGAAATTAGTCCAAACTATTTTACTAGAAGCTAAGGTAAAGAAAATTCCCTCATTGTTTTCAACGAGTTTGCATAAACGCAATGACGAAATGTATCACTAGTTGAACTGTTTCTTTTTCATCTAACTTTGTCAATCCTCAATTATTTATTGTTATATAATTTAGATCACGCAATTGATAAAACAATCTTTAAAGATAACTGAATATTTACTTAACATTTCCTCAAAAAAATATTCAAACGACAATGTGACAATTCATCCCACCAACAGGACCATTTAAAGTTTGATTAAAATCAAGAAGTTAATACCTGTTCAGTTTAAAAACAGTATTTTGTCCATTATCTAAAATTTATATAATTCACATATTACAGTTAAAATGAAATATAACTGTTTTCTAATTAAAACATGAAAATAATAAGAAATTAGTGAGACAAGTACAGTTTTCAAGATGCACAGAAGAGTGTAGAAGAAAAACAATCAAATAATTTATGATAAAACACACGCTAGTGACAGCAAAATTTGATCTTTTTCCCTCTTTCTACATAAAATGATATTCACGATGGACACAAGTGATGACAATAGCTAATAACAAAGACTGATAGTTTAGAAAACAAAACTGCTTCATTATATAATCAGCTACTTTTTAATCAAAGTATACTAGGATTAAGATAATCACAGATGGGCTCAAAAATAATGATCATCCCATTGACTTAATTATTTTATCAAATAAATAGTGATTTTCTACATCATAAGAAGAAAGAATGAAAATTAAATACGAACTCAATGGAAGAAAAATTCCTTTCGTAAAATGTCTGCTTTATTTCACCATCTACATTTTTTTATGGTAATGTTTACAAATTTGAAGATATTGTGATAGAAAAGAGAAAAAGAACATCAAAGAGGTGGTAAAACACAAATGATATTTAAAAAAAAAGGACAACAGACTAACTTTGGTATTATGTTTTTTTTTAAAATCTAATAACGTTTTCTCCGTGTATATGTGCACTGGAAAAACTACTCATAAATTATAGTAATAATAATTACTATCAGTATTATTTTCAAAAATACTACAAGATTCAAGAGTTTCATGAGTATATTAATAATCTAATGAAGCTAAAAGTTAAGGCAGATAAAGAGAATAAATAATAGAATGATTGTGGTTTAACTGCAGTTATTGAATTGCATATATCTTCTGTGCAATGACAATAACGAATTCGTACATCATTGGTTCCAACACGATCAATGCAGCCCAAATTATCGATAACATTACTACATTGACGTACTACACGTCTTTCATGTTCCACTAAAGGCAAAACATGTACATTACACAAAAATATGATCAATTCATAAGTATTTGTCCATGGATTACAAAGAAATTAAACAAAATACATTTTTTCTAAAAAAACAGTCACTAGTTTATCCCGTATTATTTCTTGAGAAAAAAAATGAAAACAAATGCACTGAAAATCTAAGAAATGATAAATTTTTCTAATTGTGTTTCACAACCGAATATCAGTATTAGAACCAATATAATGGATTCTTTATCAAGCCATAAAATTAAATAGTAATCTTCGAAGTATCTTGACGATCTAAAGGTTGAAACGTGATGCTAAAATAACATGAACCACCATATTATCGAGTCTAAGTACTTGAATACTATTAGTATCAGAAATAATACACTTCAATCTATGTAAATAGATACTTCTGTTATTATTTGTAGAAATAAATTAATTTATAACTTAGTATGTGAACATGGTGAATCAAATTTACTTTGTTTTATAAAATGGGAGAAATATTGGTCACTTCAAGGTAACTTACAATTAAGCCTGTAATAAACTAATGTTTACCTGATCTGGCCTCTTATAAACAGATGTCAGGTGAAATTTAATGCGTCAATAATGAAATCCAGGACTCATGAGCTCCGTCTGAAAAAACAACCAGCGTCTTTTACCATCAATAAGTACTTAACCAACATGACAGTTATTCGATAATTTGTGATTTCACGTTTTGCAAAAATGTTCTTCAAACAGTCAGCTTTTCAGATTAATGAATGAAGTGTGGATTCTAACAAATCTTGGAATCAGCTTTTAAAAAAGTGTAACATCAGTAGAACCGTAGAAACATGTCTATCCACCTACAGTCAGAGGTATTTGGTCACAATTACTCCTGCAGTTTTGCTTATGGTAATAGAAAAAAGCCTCTTCATCACTGTAGTCAAAAAATGATCAATAGGTCACACAGGTTCCTACCTTCTCAAAACTTCAAACAATACATCGGAAAGCTGGACGAGTAGCCATTAGTACCGACCTGTATTTTTACTTAGACTCACCTTAGATAATCATAGAATTAAAAAACAATACCGAAAGCCACTACTTGAATATGTACATAACCAGGTTATTTCAGATAAAAGGCTGAATAACATATTCCCAGTTGACGAGCTTGTAATTTATGAATGATAAAAAATATATCAGTAATTGATGGATAAAAAAGAAATCATACAGCTGGGATTATGGAAATATTATAAAACAACTAAATAATCAATGCCTATTCAAGAAACACATATAAATCCACTAACGATTGACTTCTTTTCTCATCAAACTCTAATAATACTACTAAAATTATCACAACTTGATGGGTATAACTGAAGAACATTTTGGAACAACTTAAAAATGCAAAAGTAAAACTGTAAACGAAATTGTAGACCTTTTCGAACGATAGCATCATAATTGTTCGATTACCAGCACCAGAAATAGTAGGTCATGCATATTCTGTTTATAGTTGAAAGCGTGAGTTAATTGAAGCTAGACTACCAAGGAAAACTTGGAAGCTCTGGCGCGAGACTGGTAGGTCCTGGGTTCGAGTCTCGCGAGGCCGGACCGTGGATGTGCACTGCTGAGGAGTCCCACAATAGGACGAAACGGCCGCCCAGTGTTTCTAGGTTTTCCTTAGTAGTCTAGCTTCAATTGACTCACTCTTTCAACTATGAAAATACTAAATCTCCACAAAACCCCTTCTGATAATATTCTTTTCAGTTAAGGGTTATAATCAACTAATGTAATGCAAAGATATCAATGATTACATTGCAACAATTAATTGATCTTGTTAAGACTCAGAACAAGAATACGTCAATAAAGAAACACACAGCAAAAATAGGTGGCTAGTCTATAGCATATGCTGCACATCAAAAATAATTTTCCAAGAAATTGTATCTAAGTTGTCGCTGAAATATCATATGAAGGCTATTATGGAATGAAATCAGAAAATTCTCAAACATATCTAATTTCCAGCTTTTATATCATTAGTTTTATGATTATAGGCGGAAAGAGTGAGATAAAATTGTTACCTACTGTACTAATAAAATGTGGCCCAGTATCCAAAAGCAAAGGAAATTCAAATCGCATAAGAAAATTTTTCTTTCAAATTAGTTAAGCTCATAAAGAGGAAATTTCATCTTCTAGGTAAGTTGAAGTTCATAAAAATTTCAACGTATGCATAGAATTTTAGTTTGTGGGTTCCGATCGCGTTCGCAAGCTTTACCTATCTATTTATTTGAATATAAACATTCGTACAAGAGGATACCGAATACATATGCGTCACGCAGTTATCACTGATTTTTATGAAGGTTATGATACTGCACGGATGCACAAACCGAAGGTTGTTTTCTTAAGGAGTTACACCCCGAGCCATTGACCTAAAGATATTATCTGCAAGACAGTGGAGCAACTTTACGAGATGCAGTCCCATGGTAGCCGGTGACCAACAATATGTTCATATGCCATTTGTTTCCTTAGGATCCTAGGGCCCACATGCATCAATGGTTTGAAGTCAGGGTTTTTCAACTCCCCTAAGTGGACCCTCCGTGTCCACCGACCCGATTAAAGCATAGGATATTCGCTTTTCGTCCTCTCAATTCCGTAAACAACACCCCGCCGCGAGTAGGCAGTGAGTACGACTTCCCTGGCAGTTGCTGTATACGCGTGGCCATGTGAAAGCATTTCGAGAGGGAGAGCGGACTCTCCCCACCCTCGTTAAAACGGAACCTTTACAAGCCACCGCATTTCTGAATAAAATAAATCCACCGTGACGAAACTTAGTCTCACAGTTGATGTTTGACTAATTTCAACTTCGCGGAAAATAGGTGTAATTTTAATTCCAGGTAATCCATGATGAGAAAAACGTTTACGGTTAAACCCAAACAAGATTTCATGTGAAAATTATGAAGATCTAAACCGAACTATGAGTAGTTTAACAGGAGTAATTTTACGGAAAATTCAAAAGTTAGTGGTTGATTTTCAAATATTCTCACTGGTTAGTAAAATACGCTTCAAATAATTAAATAACAAATACTGAAACTTAGTTTTCTTAAACAGTACTGAAAAAGGAAGGACAATGAAGGTATGATTATAGAGACAAATGTTCTCAAATTACGGAAAATCATGATTAAACTACATCTTGGCTAGCAAACAATCTCAAAATAATTTGAAACTTTTAACACAATGAAACTGTACTTCATTTTACTCATAAATATGTAGAACGAAAAATATTCCCTATGGATTTCATTATCAGCCACATATTCGCCAATCCTCTTGCATTTAACGACCAAAAAATATAATACTAAGAAACGGCCGTCCAGTGTTTCCAGGTTTTCCATGGTGGTCTAGCTTCAATTGACTCACGCTTTCAACTATAATAAATACTAAATCTCCACAAAACCCCTTCTATAATTAATATAATACTAAGACTCAAAGATTTTTATCACGGACTGAGTCCAGTTGGATGGCTACTCAAAATTACCTACCTACATACTACAAGTATTTCTATTTTATTTATTTCTTTTAACATAAATATTGATACAAGGGGGCACCAGATATATATGCGCCACATTAATATTACGTTCCTATCATACCGTAGTTCACTTACCAACTTGATCAATTTTACGACAACTAATTGGTTTGGATGCATCGATTCCGGGATATTTTGAACAGTTTGTTATGAATGTAAACTGATCCCAAGGTTCACATAACTGGCCATCAAGATAGGAATTGCAGACAACGCACTGGATACCATAGACTGAAAAGGGAAACATTTAGTTACCATGATCTTTTTATTTCACCTTATCACAAATTACCATAAGTCTATAACTTGAAACTAAATAGTTGCATTGTAATAATATTGCATGTAATTGGTGACAAATGTTAAGTTTCGCAGGAAAATTTCTACTGACTTTCATTTAAACTGTAAACCGAAAGGTTGTATGAGATCTCAAAACAGAGTTTATCCTGTAATAACAATACATTTTTATGTGAATGAGTAAAACAACAATAGGTTAATCTAGAAGTATAGGAGTTTAAAACTGATGACACTCAGTCTTCGAAAAGTTCTTCCCCTTAAAAACTAATTCCCTATGTTCAAAGTTATCATCGAGTAAATTTCCCAACATTACTATCTGTTCGACCTAGATGAAAACACTTGATTGTGGGGCGGATGCGACCTTACTGAGAATAGTGGCACCTTACCATCTAAAAGGTTGCGGCAATTCAATCATCTAATATTAGATGGCGTCTAGGAAAAGACTGTGACAATCATTTCTTACTAGGTTACTCACTTTTAAACTGAAACCTCACTTTTGAAGGACAAACATACGGGATTAGATCAGAATTTAAACACTGAATTATAAAATTTACTCTTATTAGTAAAATGTCTAGTAATGTAATCGTGAGTGATTACGAATCTTAAGTGATTCTGTCCCACAAAAAATTAACTAAAACCATCGTATAGAATTACTCTAAAGTTAGCATTTCGAACTTTAAGATTCGCACCCAAAGATGGCCAACTAGTCCTCGTCATAGTTAATTTAAACCGCTCACATATACGGAATTTCGACTGGTACGTCCGAATCAACTTCAACCTGATATCAGAAACTTTCCGTTAAATAGGGTATACTATATGAAGATACGAAAGATACGGTCCTCAGAAAGTCACTTAGACACATCCTCAGCTAGTAAATCATTCGAAACCACATGCGATGGAAGTCGTAACCTTTCACTGGAACCAGTTTACCGTCTGTCTGTCTTTCTAACAGTGACCAACAATTGTTTGTTATTCACCAAAAACGAAAATTACTGATTAACGTACTTATCTCAATCCAACATAAACATTGCTGAGAACATACATCTCATAAAACACCATTTAGATAAACTAAAATAGTGAGGAAAACTAACAATAAAATACCTAGGTAATGATTATCCACTCATTACACAAGAATAATTTTTAATGGTGTCTTGACTAAATTAGTGTCCGAAGTTTTAATTTCATAAATTCAGGTTCCTAATACGTATACATATACATATATACATATACGTATATATATATATATATATATATATATATATATATATATACTGGTGTGCTAAGATTTTAACAGGATATGAATGCCGGAGTAAAGTTCCAGGAATCCCTCAGTTAACTGCTATTCCGTCAATACTCCTTTCTTTTTCCAACGAAGTAAGCTCCATTACCATAGGTTTCAGCAACCGTAATATGTCAAACCCTGAAGTTTATGGTAAAATACCGCTATATTTTTTATTAACCAGATGAAATTTGCTTACTTCTCTAAAATTTCTAGCCTTAGAATTTATCATATTTTGTGGATTTACATTCAGAGAATCCAAGTCTATACAGCAGTTACCGGAGGGACTAGAGTCTAAAAAACATTTACTGCATATTACTTTGAGAATACATTATGATGCGATTTCACAACAATTAGAGTTAAAAATTTAAAAATGTAATAAGAAACTCATCGGAAATTAGTAATACACTGAGATGAATGGGTTTTATCTTAGTTATATGTTATATTGTGGCAATTAAGTACAATTAAGTGTACTTAATTCAGTTTATTATTAAGCTATGGTAACTACGACCGATACTTATCACGTAACTTATTATTGTATTTGCAATAAGATGACGTCTATTTTCAGTTGTAAAACTACATTTACGAAATGGAATACTAACCTGATTCCTGTTGTAAAACACATAAGAATACAATTGTTACTCCCAATGGTATGTGGCTGACGAAATAGTGAATCATTTTCACAGCATTAATTGCTGCTTGTAGCCAAATAAAATCCTGTGTATAGGGCAAGACTAAGCTAAGTCAAAATACCTATTCCTGACGGTTGTAAGATCCTGTTAAAACTGACCAAACTGATGATTGGTTAATGGGATAAGTTTTACCACACTCTAACCTATTAACGAATCAGGTTCAAGGGAATAAAAAGTGACCTTGAATATCAGTCCGAAAATCTGAAATACGTGGGTTGGGATTTAATCGCTCCGCGGCAAATAGCCTCAAGGTGTATTACTGAACAAGCCAGAAATATTTTTATTTAGCTTACGTATTTGCTTTTATCAAACACAACATTCAGAGAAGCGATTTATATGCTCTGGATAAATGATGTTTGTAAAACCCCAAACTTTTAGAAAATATGTCCACTCGGTGCTAAATAATGTGGATAAAAGGTCGTATCAGGAGATCAAATCAACGGTTGAAGAAACAATATTAGTTAAATTAGAATGATGAACTGGATCATCGAAATAAAGGTACAAACGAACCACTATGACAGTACCCAAATCATATAAATAGTTAAATATTGCCTAGAATGGATGGTTGTAATAAAATTCAGTCCGATAAACAATAAAAGTCCTCCGTGGTATAGTTTAATTTAGCAAACGATGAACACATTTTTCAGCAATAATTATTAAATCTCCGAAGTGAACAATATTAGTTGAGTGGTCTGTAGACGTTAATTCATCCTAGAGACATTTTATTGCAGACTGGCTTCAGTTGAACGATTATCCTGTTGCATAAAAGTGTCTGTAATCCTATTTCAGAATATTGAACTTGGGTTTTCCGAATCAGTCACAACTTTATTGCTGTTTTTATTACCCAAGTTTTACTATTGTAAGAACCATAAAAACAGTTTAAATTCGTCATTACATGATGGATAACGTAGCAGTTGACTGATTCTAAACAGTACTCACTGTGGTAAGCTAGTTAGGTAGTTTTGTACAAATTAATGGTCTAAAGAATATTTGAAATTCATGTGGTAAGACGTACACTTGGGATTGTAAAAACAGTCAGATCACAATACTAAACGAAGAAGAGTTCTTTTCTCGATTCTTGATGGCAAAGGTCAACATAAATAATAAATAATTCTCATTCAGTCTGTGAAAGCGAGTCAAAAACCACTACCACTCAGTAGACTTCATAAATGAGTGTAATTGCTTTAATTAATTGTAACATTGTGAGAACTAAATAATCGGGTCACTCTACTCCAGAGTTTCATGCTATTCACCACTAGTGTCTTTCTTATGCATAAATCCGTACATAATTAATCAATGCATGTCAACTACTTCTGTTATGAGCAAGGAATAATTTATTCAGCAATGATATCTTGCGTAAACATACTGCCTGTTATCGCAAAAGGATTTAAAATATGAAAAAATCCTGTGATAAGTTTATGTAAACTCTTAACAATCGAATTTCTTAAGAGATGAAGCTAATGAATGGTAAAATCAGAAATATACGATTATGAGTTCCCATCATAAGACCACCAAAATAGCAACAATTCCTATGTCATTGGAGAAAAAACTATTCTTCTGGTCTAAATGTTATGTAGTACGCATAGTTGACTCTCACTGGCTAGATCTTATCCTATTCGGTCGAACAGTTGTTTACCTATTGTACTTGAACAGGTTGTTGGACTGAAACAAGGAAATAAAGTGTCTCGCCCGATAAATATGTAACTGCATTCCACTGCACTGTGTTCTATCATCTACGTTATGTCAGCTAGTCTATGATTGTGTTGAATAAATCTGGGTTATATGTTTGGTATATTCCAGCACTCATTAAAATCACATGAGATAAATTAATATAGGTTAAAGAGATTACTACATATAGGTATCAGTAATTCAAAAAAGATTCATCTGCTGCTTCTGTAGAAAGAATGTATGTAATCTTTGGAAAGCATTTTCAATCAGTCAATTGTTTCATAACAAATCAAAAGATATAACATGCTATCAGTTCGTTTCCTCTTTGAATTCAGAATCATCGGTTGTACATGGATGACTTATTGTGAGCACTGTTATGTTTGGTTGCTAAAAGAGATAACACTGTCTACTTAAGAAGTTCTATAATCAAACAACTCTTTTTATTAAATCGTATTTGATCTCATTAAAATCTACCCCAATATTAGGCTTGACACCTTCTAAACTAATTAAGGTCCCAGATATGAGTGAGAGAACTTCAATAACCTGTAAAACGAAATTGTCTAGTCATATTTTACCTTTTAACCATATCATGCGATCTTCGAACATAGCCCGACATCTTTTCTTTTAAGTCCATGGACAACTCATATCTAATTATTTTGTGATCTCAAGTTTTCTTTTAATCAGGTTTCTTTAAAGCAAATATATTTTGTGTGAAAAACATTTAAGTAAACGGAATATACCCATTTAGATATAAAAATAGAAAAGATTAGTTCAGACAAAAGTTTTCTTTTAAGTTAATTCATTTCCAAAGCTGTAAAATCGCAAATATATACTTATTTTTCAAAATGATAATAATTGCAATAACTGTGGTAATAAAGTTTCTCTAGACATGGTAACAATGAAGTAAAATAAGTTACTTACTTATTTACTTACGCCTGTTACTCCCAATGGAGCATAGGCCGCCGAACAGCTTTCTCCAACCCACTCTGTCCTGGGCCTTCTTTTCTAGTTCTATCCAGTTCTTGTTCATTCTACTCATGCCTGTCTCTGTTTCTCGGCGTAATGTGTTCTTTGGTCTTCCTCTTCTCCTTTGACCTTCAGGATTCCATGTGAGGGCGTCTTGTGACACAATTAGCTGATTTCCTCAAAGTGTGCCCAATCCACTTCCAGCGCTTCCTCCTGATTTCTTCCTCCGCTGGAATCTGGTTTGTTGTCTCCCACAGTAACTTGTTGCTGATAGTATCTGGCCATCGGATCCGAAGTATTTTGCGTAGATGTTGATGAACACTTCTATCTTCTGGATAATGGCTTTCGTATTTCTCCACGTCTCCGCCCCATACAGTAGAACTGTCTTGACATTTGTATTGAAAGTTCTAACCTTGGTGTTGGTTGACAATTGTTTTGAGCTCCAGATGTTTTTCAGTTGTAAGTATGCTGCTCTTGCTTTGCCGATCCTCGCCCTCACATCTGCATCTGATCCACCGTGTTTATCAATGATGCTGCCCAGATATGTAAAGGTTTCCACATCCTCCAAAGCTTCTCCATCAAGTGTAATTTGATTGATGCATATTGTATTGTATCGGAGAGTCTTGCTTTTCCCTTTGTTTATATTGAGACCTACTGCTGCTGAGGCTGCTGCTACACTAAACTTTTTCTCCTGCATTTGTCGTTGCGTTTGTGATAGAAGAGCTAGATCATCCGCGAAGTCTAAATCGTCAAGCTGCATCCTGCCTGTCCACTGTATCCCGTGATTTCCTCCAGATGTTGACGTCTTCATGATCCAGTCGATGACCAGGAGAAAGAGAAAGGTTGAGAGTAAGCAACCTTGCCTAACACCGGTCTTTACCTCGAATGCGTCGGTGAGTTATCCTCCGTGGACGATTTGGCAGTTTAGTCCATCATAGGAGTTCCGTATGATATTGACTATCCTCTCAGGCACGCCGTAGTTTCGAAGAAGCCTCCATAGTGTCGTCCTGTCCACACTATCAAATGCCTTCTCGTAGTCGATGAAATTGATGTAGAGTGATGAATTCCATTCGATTGATTGTTCCACAATGATCCGCAGAGTTGCGATTTGATCTGTGCACGATCTATCCTTACGAAATCCAGCTTGTTGATCTCGAAGTTGGGCGTCCACGGAATCCTTCATCCTGTTTAACAATGCTCTGTTGAAGACTTTTCCTGGTATTGAGAGAAGAGTGATGCCCCTGTAGTTGTCGCACTTGCTGAGATCGCCTTTCTTTGATATCTTGATCAGAAGTCCTTCTTTCCAGTCTGTTGGTACTTGTTCTTCGTCCCAAATCTTACTGACGAGGGTGTGTAGTATCTTGGCAGTTGCTGCTACATTTGATTTCGGTGCCTCTGCCGGGATGTTGTCTGGTCCTGCTGCTTTGACGCTCTTGATTTGTCTAATGGCCATGCTGATCTCTTCAATTGTTGGTGGGCCAACATCGATTGGGAGGTCCGTGGGTGCTGCTTCGATGTTGGGTGGGTTCAGTGGAGTTGGTCGATTTAAGAGTTCTTTGAAGTGTTCTACCCACCTGTTTCGTTGTTCTTCAATGTCGGTGATTACTTTGCCTTCCTTGTTTTTCACTGGTCTTTCTGGCTTACGGTAATTTCCAGCAAGTTTCTTTGTTGTATCATACAGTTGTCTCATGTTTCCCTCTCTTGCAGCCTTTTCCGCTGTCATCGCTAAATCTTCAACATGTTTACGTTTGTCGGTCCTGATGCTCCTCTTCACTTGCTTGTTTGCCTCTGTGTATTCGGATTGTGCCTTGGTTTTTTCCGCTCTTGTTCGGCTGATATTGATTGCTGCCTTCTTGTTCCTCCTTGCTTCAATCATATCCAGTGTACCAACAGTGATCCATTCCTTGTGATGGTGCTTCTTTTGGCCCAGAACCTCTTGACATGTTGAAACGATTGCCTCCTTGATACCTTTCCAGTTGCTCTCCATGGTAGTTCCCTCTCCATTGAGTAGACCATAAAAGGCCTGGAACCTGTTGCTGAGGGCTATGTTGAATTTGTTGAGTTTGTCAACATCTCGAAGAAAGGCCGTGTTAAACTTTTGTGATGTTGTCCGCGCCGTTGTCCAGTGCTTCTTGAGTTTTAGTTTCATCTTGGCGACCAGCAAATGATGATCAGATGCTATATCAGCTCCTCTTCTGGTTCTCACATCCTCCATCGTCCTCCTGAACTTTTTGTTGATGCAGATATGGTCGATTTGATTCTGTGTAGTGTGATCCGGTGAAATCCAGGTGGCTTTGTGTATGTTTTTGTGTGAGAATATGGTGCCATCTATGACCAGTTTATTGAAGGCAC